GCTCTGTTGCTCGCAGCACTTTATAGGCCCCTCCTTTTCTTCCCCCAGGTTATAAATATTTATATTTCTCTCACTCAGGCACAATGTTGTCTGAGACACTCACTAGTTTTAATATGTATCTGTAGGATTAATGTTCATATGGGGCATAATGTGGAAAAGTGCAGAACCACAGAAATCAGACTGTCAGAAACAGAAGCACGCATGTCGACGGCAGGTATTTCTCACTCATTCTGTTCAGCTACGCAAGCAATGCATCTGCGGGCATCGGCATCCATCCCTCCTGAGGAAGGTTTTCTCTCTGGGCTCAGTAGAGTAGTTAGGGTCTTCCCAAGCAACTAGTTTGTTTTTGTTTTATCCTTAAGACTGTCTTCTGACTCAGAACCAAATCCAGAATCCCCTGCTTACAGCTCCTGTACTTTTCTATCCTATTTTTCATTCACTCTTATTTTCTCACTTGCATTTTCATTTTGCTCTATTTATTTTTGGAGCTACCTGAAATTCTTCTGGAGTAGATGAAATAGAAATGAGTGAATGGTTAGACATCTAAACATATAAAAAACTTCTAAGAAAAAAAGGTAGGATGCTACTACCATTTGGGACTAAAATAAAAGACTTTCAGGAAAGATAAGATATTCTTAAAAAGAAAACTTACAGCCACTAAGAGTCCCGATCAGGAAACTCAGGGGTAAGGGTTGGGGTAGAATCCAGAGAAATTGACACAGCCTTGAAGGGAGCTCGCCAAGGAGGTGAGATCTTAAAGGCACGTTCACAAGACCGAAGGAACATGGCTGTGGGGAGGGGGCAGAGTAGCACCAGGGAACGCCAGGGAAAGCTACAACCAGCAAAGCATGAGCCACTGCTTACCAAAGTAAGAACACGCCAAAAAGGTGGTTTTAAATATTACGTTTGGAGCAAGAAACAGTCAGAATGAGCAGCACCCATGGCTTAGGACTGATGACACTGACCAGGTGTTGGCAGACGTTTTCTGCGAAGGGCCAGCGAGTAACGTTAAGGGTTTGTGGGCCACACAGTGCTGGCTGCAGACACTCAATGCTGCACTGTAGCCTGAAAGCAGCTACAGACCATTTGTAAAGGAGCGGGCATGGCTGTGTTCCAGTAAAATTTCATTTGTGAACACTGGAATTTGAATTTCATACAATTTTCAAAGATCCCTAAATACTATTCTTTTTATTTTTTTCAACTACTTGAAAATATTAAAACTATCCATAGCTGACAGGCCATATAAAAATAGGCCGTGGGTGGGATTTGGCTGCAGGCCACAGTTTGCCGACCCTAACACAGACAGATAACGGAGTGGACCGAACCAGGTGACCATCGTTGTATTCCCACGTCCTTCTTTAAAGAAAACCATCTTCAAACCCTAAAGAGCAGAATAACATGGTGCTGGGGGGTGTGAAGAGCCAGGAAGGTGAGGACGTAGCTCTAGCAGCCAGGTGTTTCCGCCGGGTCCACGTCTGTGGGGCCGGGGGACGTGAAGGCGATATTGAAATTACAGACTCCGATCTTTGAGCAACATGAGTGAACAGGCGGTTTCAGGGGACTAGATAACCGGGAAAAAATCATATTCTCAAAAAGGGACAATAAGGAAATTATTGATCTGTGGCCTGGAAGTAACTTCCAGTAAACGTCGAGCGCCTATCATGAGTCGGGTGGCTCTGAGCACTCGGGGAAAACGGGGCGACCCTGCAGTCCAGCACGTCCACCGAGAGCACGCCCCGTTCACGTGGGGTCTGTGTGTTTTTTCTTATTACAAAAGCAACACACGCTATCGTGGAAAAGTGAGGGATTGCAAAGAAGTCAAAAGAAGAAGGGACGAGGAAAGTCTGGGGAAAACCACTGTAAATTCCTCAGCGTGGACCTTTAGATGGATATTTTTAAAAATAAGATCCCACTGCACATTCTGGTTTGTCACCTGTTTTTTTCCCACTTCACGACATTCATGTACATCTTTTTATTTAAATCGTCATTTCTTGAATGGCCATTGTATGGATGTTTTGTAATTTAAGCATTCGCCTTTGTTTGGGGCATTTGAGATACAGTCATCTCCCACCTGTTTTGGAGCATTATTCTTAAAAAGCAGCAGGGCCCATCCTTGTGGGCGAATCTTTTTGCACATCTGTATTTCCTAGCAGAAATTCCTAGAAGAAAAAGAGTGAGGATCAAAGGTTGGCTTCATGGCCACTTTGATCAGGGTGCACGGTGCAGAGTGAGAGACACGAATGTCTCAGCATTTTAGCACCGAGTCAGTAAAAGTTCCCCACCCCACTTCTGTGGGCAGGAGAGAAATACGGACTGGACTGTGTGGAACAGCTGGCAAATTCCGGCGGACAGAATGCACAGTACGTCCGATTGCTGGGTGAAGTGAAGGTGCAGGAAGGCAGAGCCCAGCTTAATGAAGGAGACATGCACTGGGCTGGTTGGGAGGCGACGGCCCCAGACACTGGAGGCGGTCGGGATGACCCTTACCCCAGGGGTCTTAGAGGGTACCCCTGGGCAAGGCAGGCGCAGGCCAAATGCTCTCCTTCCCCTCTTCCATCCTTCCATAAACACTGCACGAGCACCTCTATGTGCCGGGGACACTGAGCAACTCTGAGCAGTGTCTCTCTCCCTCTGCAGGCATGGTCGGGGTGGAATGTCTTAGCAAAAGGGACGGGAATAGGGATAGATTAACAGGTATGCCACTGAGAAAACATTACAAGTAAATATACTTTAACAACCATACATACACATTAAATGCAAGCTTTCTTCCCAAATTTCTAATTACAGTTTTGAAATCTACTTATCTTAGGAAGGGACCGAACACTAAGGGAGCAGTAGTCAAATGTCTTTGGGGCAGACACAGAGCATACCGGGAGTTTGCACCAAAGGCTTAGCTCCTGAAGCCTGCAGTGGACACATGCCAGAGCCGGTTCGGAAGCAGAACAGTTTGATGATTCATTTCATTATCAGCAGAATCCCAGCTATCAAGGCATCGGTCCCGGGCAAGGGCCAGGGCCAGGGCCTGGGGCACACTTTGCCTTAACTGTTTTTGGAATAAACCGTTGGAAACCCTAACTTTGTAATACCAAACTGAGATGAGCCACTTAGTGCCAAATACTCTTCATGTGGGGATGAGGGGGGTGGTCTCTGCTCCCTCCAAGCCAGAACAACTCGCAGGCAGGCTGCCAGTGGGTGGGCGGGCAGGTTTCCAGCTGCGCCAGCGCTGCCCAGTGCTGAGCTTGCAGGCCTTATGGAGCCAGCGGGCCCTGTGGGGTATTCCTGGCAGCGCTGCAGCAAAGCAGTCCTGGACCCTGGCAGAACAATGTGGTGCCTGCAGCCGCCGAGGAGGCCTGAGCTGCCTGCTGCCGTGTGCTGCATGCAGCCTCCACTACCTCTGTTTGGAAGATAAAATCCAATTGACTGCCACTTACATAAATGTAACAGGAAGTTTCTGAATGGCTTCCCCTGTGTCTTGAGGCTGTTACCTTGGTATTGCTACACTAACAGCTGAAATGAACCCAGACAACACCTCATCAAACCTGCGGGGCGAGGAAGCAGCCGTCCAGAGGCAGACAGCAATGTTCCTGCCAAACCAGAGGAGACTTCGCTCTGTGGGCTCTTTTCTGCAGAAACGCCAACAGCTGGGAAAGCCATCAGAGAACACAGGTAAGGTGGGTGTAGCCGAACGCTGTGGCTGGAAAAAGATTTGCAAGCTGCGGAAAAACAGTCATCTGTTTTGATGGCGCTCTCCTCGTGCGCATTCTGAACAGGGCGCTCTGCTGGATTTCACGGGCCTGTTTTACACCACGATGCCACTAAGCATCTGGGGAAATATTCAGCTTTCCTACAAAATAGGTCATCTTTCCACACTTGTTATGCTCCTTGTCGGCTCTGCTGAAATAGCCACAGCACAAAAGAAATTCTCCCTGGAGATGCTTTTCTTAGACAAACACGTTCCTTCTCCCCTTGGAGAGCCCGGTTCCTGGAGTGGAGCCAGGGGCGGGGGCTTAAGAACATCCCTGTTTCTCCCCTTCCCAGGAGGAGTGCTGCCCGGAAATGGAACAACGGGCTTTGCTTATCCTTCCAAACCTATTAGGGAGTGATCATAACGAGAAAAACTAATACTGACAAGAATTATGCCATTGTTCTATTTCATCTATTTAGTAACCTGTAGCTGCAATTTTTAGGAAAAAAGATTACCTTTTAAATAACCGATTCATTATGGTACATGAATGAATGCCATGTTCCCGTGTTCAAAATGTCACTCACCATTAAGGGTGTGCGCTGGTAAGTGGCACCGATTTGCCACTTCCCCCTCGTACACAAACACCCCGACTGGCAGCCCAGTATAATCAGGGGTGAGTTTGTGGGCCTCCTCAGCTCTTAGCAAGTCGCCTGCACTGCCAGGCACCTAATGAATCTCCACTCTGTAACGAGGCTTGTAACGTTCCCCTCCCCGGGTGAAGGTGAAAAGGAAAACCAGGGCCGATGAAGTTCCCGCCAAGGTAACACTATCAATTCCAAGGCTGAGTTCGGAAACCACAGACTCACACTACGGAGGTGTGAGGGGGCGGCCGCCAGTGCACCCTCTGGCCACAAACCCGGCTGTGAGAAACGAGAGGTGAGGACAGACCTGGATTCGGGAGGGCGAGCCGAGCGGGCTCAGCTCGGCGCTGCCCTGAGTCCCCGCGGGAAACCCGCCCGGGGTCTGGCAGGTGAACCATGTGGTGAGTATTCTCTGGAAACCTCCCTTCAAGCTTGTGAAATCCACACATTGTTTTTCATCATTAGTTTCAAAACACGTTGAATATCTGGCCCTTCTCTAAGTGCCGTGGCGACACAAGGAAAGGGAAGGCCTGGTCCCTGCTGGGAACAGACCCCTTGCAGGGAAAAAGAGAGGTAAGACAGACAGGTCCTGTTAGAAGACACGGAACGTGCGGAAGGAGGTGGCACCCAGGACACAGACTCCGCGGCTGGCCTGCCGCAGTGGCCCCACGTACCTGATATGGCATACAAATTGGAGTGCTGGTACTCATAGTCCGTCCGGGTGCTGTTCCTGCCTCGGAAGGTGGCAGGGAGCGTTAGCGAGATGTGCCTGGGGAAGAGACAAGGAGAGAAAGGAGGTTACAAGGAGCATTCCCCAGGACTCAGAACGCACCTGGCGCCATCAACAGCTGAAACCCACACGGAGCAGGAAAAGTGGATGCTCCTGGCAGCGCCCCCACCCACCTCCCTCAAGCATGACTGCTCCTCCCAAGGAACTCGGAAGCTTCCAGACATCAGCAGCCACCTTTTCTCCATATTGAAAGCACACCCAAGCCAAAGGAAGGGTTTCCCAAGCCTTACAGCATGTCCAACAGGCTCCATGGAGGTGGGCATTTTGATCCAGATCTCTGTTTACTAGGCCAAATACACCAAATACACCTGGGTCCTGGGTAGGACCCAGGCTCTGAACACCAGCCTTGGCTTGTTCCATTCCATCCAACGGCTTCCACACCTGCCCTGCAGGGCAGCTGAGGACCACAGCTCAACGACACACTTTGCAAATGAAGGTGCTGGAAATCAGAACAGCACATGGCTCTGAACTGCTGTGTCTGTGTGTTCCCCCTCAGGCAGAGCACAAAGTAGGTGCTCAAGAAAGCACCTTCCAGACAGACCCAATGCTATCTTTTATGGCTCAGGTGTTAGTCATTAAAGCTCACAAAGAACATACAGCATAAGTATTAGTCAAAAGTAAATAATCCATTTTGCATGGTCATTAGCTGCTTTTAATGAATGCTCAAAAGAAAGATTAAAATAATAGGAAAAATATTTAAAACCCAACAAGTCTGGGGGAAAACACAACAAAAAATCTCCTGGAGGGATGACTTGGCGTTGGCTTGAAATCGCTCAGCAGCCTAAGCTTTGGCCACATTTTGTCATTTCCAAAAGGGGAGAGACGGGTGGAGGGAGCATTTGTATGTAATGAAAGCTGTCAATTACATGGTGCCTTTTCCCACAGCACACGCATGACCTTCTAGAATGATGGTTGTACATAAAGACCCCTGGGAGGAAAGGCTCTCCAGGTAGCGGCTGTTCCCAAAGAGCCAGGACTGAGCCGCAACCAGCAGGAGCCTTCCGGGGACAAGGCGAGCACCGGGGCTGTGAAGGTATTCGGTTTGCTGGCCGCGGCACAAGCCTTCATGGTGGACGCCTGTGCCACAGGCCAGCCAGGCTGAACCAAGCAGTGGGGCTCTGCTGAGCAGCAGCAACTGGGTGCTCAGGGCTGTGGGGGAACCAGCAAACACGGGTACAGGGAGAGCGTGTCCCCTGGGTGCCCTGGTGTGTGTGCAGGGAATCTGCAGTCTGTGCATTGCTGCTGCTCACTGAAGGTGCAGAGCGGAGCTCCCCCAAGGAGCACTAAGGCTGCAGGGGATAAAGGTGCAGGGACAAGTCACCAAGCAACGTGAGGTGTGCTCAGAGAAAAAGAAAAACTGGGTGCTGGTGAGCATGAAAGGAAAGAACAGTATGTTCTGTTAAAGGGACAGGGCTTCATGACCCCTCAGGGTGCTACAGGAGTCAGAGGCACCTGCCAGGTAGTCAGGGGGAGCCCACACTTCAGTGCGGGGTTAGGGTACACTTTGGAAGCAAAGCTAGAAAGGTAGGCCACAGCCAGGACACCAAATGCCAGAGCAAGAGGTCTGGTTCTTGGGATAGAGGTTCCCAAACTCTGTCCCTCCTGTCCTGGCATCGATGACAGCATTAGAGTCACCTGGGAACTTGCTAACAACACAGACTCCCAGGCCCGACCCCGGGGGGTCCGGTTCAGTGGTCCTGGCAGGGTGCAGCCCAGAAACATATTTTTCACAAGCTCCCGCAGCGAATCTGAAGACTGGCCAGGCCTGGGAGCGCTGCGTGGGTGAGCGGCAGCTGTAGTAGGTTTCAGCATTGATCGATGCCTCTGACCACAGCACTTAGTCAGTGCAGCTGAGCAAACAGAAGAGTGAATTACTGACCGTGGTTGTGGCTGAGCAGAACTAAAACCATGACGGGTGACCCTCCCGAGAGTGTCACCAGGCACCAGGCCCTGGGGATGCAGATGTCACACATTCCCCTATGGCTCCTCACAGTGCCCCTCAAGGTACGGGGCCGGCTACATGCTGTGTGGGGCCCGTGCACCGTGAGAACCCGGGGTGTGTGACTGTGAGGACCTCACAGAGCCGGGGCAGGGACTGTCGCTGCACTCTGCCAATGAGGGAATCTCCAGGAGCTGAAGGCTTCACAGCTGCCAGACTCTAAGATTTCTCAGCCTTAGAAGTCCTAAAAAGCTACACCCAACCTAACTGAGGACAAAGTGATCTGTGCCGCTCGAGGCATTCGGCGGGGCTCACGGAGGAGGGGCATTAGCAGGACTTTAGAAGACAGGTGGACCTGGATGACGGCAGAGGCCAGCCAGGAGCCAGAGGAGAAAATGGGGCAAGCCCCGCCACTGAGTGGTCAAACACACATCCACACAGGTCTGCGGGGGACTTAGGAGTGGCAGGCAGGCAGGGGGACACAAAAATGTCCACAAAGTTACCTGAACACTTGCTTTCAAGTGTGATCACTTCCTGCAGAAAGGAGGAAGACTCAAGCGCTATGAAGGGCGGAGCAGGAGGGGGCTCCCTGGAGAAAGTGACATTGAAGTGGGGAACTGAGGATGGGTGGGAGTCAGAGAGGGGTGGCAGGGCAGCGGGGTGTGTGCCCTGCAGGGAGTCTGGCCAGTAGAAAGACCCAGGAGGAGGCCATGGTGGCCAGACCTAGAAAGCCAGAAGAGACTGTGGGACCAGCCGAGAGGGCTATGGGGGCCACCCCATGTGGGGCCTGGCACAGGTTCTGACTTCATCCTGAAGGATTCTAGGCAGAGATGTGCCAAGATTCAATCTACCATTTCCAAACTGAGGCCACTGTGGAAGGGAATGGTAGCAGCAAATGATGATGGAGATGATCATGAAACTGTAATTATTTACCACCTACTATGTGCAGACCCTTAATTCCTCCCCAAATAGCTGCTACAGACCCTCTAAATGGACAGTGTTGGGGAAATTCAGGACTTAAAAAGTAAGTACATGAGCAACAGAGAAAGAAAAGTGACCGGCTCTTTAGCTGCCCCATCCAACATGGACTTCCCAGTCCAAACCTTCTGGCTTCTCTGGGGCACAGGGTTTGCCTGGCTCTGCTCGCCCCCTACCCCCAGCCTCGTGCTTTCCCCTCCTCACACATGGTTCTTTCTGGCCCCTCCTCCTCCTCCCTCTTCAAGGTTGCCATTTGCGGGGTCCTGGCTCAGCTCTCTTCTCACCCGACACACTCTCTCTGGGCAGCCTGGTCCACCCCACACCCCTGGTTTCAGCCACCCCGACACACCAGCCCCCTCTCCAGAACCTGCCTCTCATCACTGCTCACTTCTCCCTCCCCCAGGAAGAGCGAAAGTCTCGTCAATCCCTGAAGAGGCCTTGTTTTCTCATGCCTCAGCCTGACTCGTTATCCATGCTGCTTCCTCTTCCGAGAATCTCCATTCTTCCTTACCTAGTGTCCGAACTCCTATTCACCCTCCAAGACCCCACTCAACTATACCCTCTTTGGTGAAATCTTTCCTGGGCTTGTCCCAGGCTGGACTGGGTGCCTCGTGTGTCCTCTCTCACTCTATTCCAGTTATCACAATATATTTTAATCATCTGATATAAACCTGTCCCTCTAATTTGACCACAACCTCCTCATTTTCTAGGACAATTTCTGCCACAGAGTAGACAATTACTGAACATTTGCTGACCAAATCAAGTGTTGAACTTAGTCCACTAAAACCCCTGTGTCTCTTTTTGACATGAGCTGCTGTTAGCCTGTTATTTCATCTGTGTATTTTCTCAATTAGCCTCGAGGGGTCCCTGTATCAGACCACGCATCCCACTTCTCTCTACCACGGAGGAAGACAGGTGTGGTTTAAGAAGATATTGGTGGCAGCCACAACCAGGAATTTACAAAGCGGGGAAAGAAAGTTTCCGTTCACATACAACAGACAATGTGTGGCTGATGCATTAATGGGAAATTAAAAGAAAATTCAAGTCATAGGCTGACTGTATTTTTTAGAGTAATTGCTCGATAGGAATCTGTTGAATTGAAATCCAGTTACCAAAACCTCCAGCTGCAGTAGCTGACATGAGACAGTATTCCAAGAGCGAGGGGTAAGGCCTCCTGGCCAGAGCAAGCCTTGGGGCTTTTTGGTTCCACTGTTCCTGGACACAGCAAGCAGGGGATGTGGGAACAGGCAGACAGAAAGGCACAGCGAGGCCTCCCATTAATGAGAATGAACAGTTTGGGCCAAGGGGACAGATCACCTGTGGTTAAATAGGACAAGGAAGTCACCTGCTGAAGGAGGAGTGGCCCAGGGGTGCTTGGTGTCAGATTAGCCTGACAGTGACAGCCACGGAGGAAGGCTCTGCAGTCAGCTGCGTCGCAGGGCAAGATGAGCTTCTCATTCCCCAGCGTTAGGTGAGGACCCGCCTGCCAGGCCCTGGGCTGGGTTCCCTCACAGACATCACCTGGCCTGATCCTCTCAGCAAGCTTTAGACAGGAATAATCACTCTCATTTAACAGAGCAGGAAACTGAGGCCCCGGCAGGTGAAGCTGACACGGGGGAGCTGGGAATTAACGGGACGGTTAGTGCACGTGTCCTCCAGAGGTGGTTATTGCTATTTTAAAGTTGCCCTGATGTATCATCTCGACTACCAGGGGTGGAGAGTGAGGTTACTCAGTCAGATGCCAGGGACTCGACATCTCTGCCACTTAGAGCTCACTGATCCCGACAGGTTACGGTGCAACATACAGAGCTGGGTGACCAGTGGCCCGACCTCGCACACAGGGAGGCAGGGCAGCAGTAGTGGTTAAGAGCAGTGCCCCTGAGCCCACTGATGTAGGTTCAAATCCCAGCGCCAGCGCCAAGGAGCTGGGTGGCCTTCAGCAGGGGTACTGCCTGCAGGAGCACACCTGGCCACAAGGCAGGCAGGGCAGTTAGCAAAGGGCATGTGGTGAGGTTTAGCCTCAATTCCTTTCCGATTCTTCCCATTCCTGCCACCCTTATTT